CTCCTTGATTAGCCAGGACACTAGAGGACAAATTGCTGACCGCGGGGGCTGAAGTTGGGGTATCGCTCAGGTCAACAAGGGGGGCGACCTTGGGGGCTGAAGCTGGGGATGGGGAGGAGGTGGCAATGCCAGGCCCCTTGGAAGGGGTGGCCTGGCCAGCTGGCACAGAATTTGAGTCCGGCGCAGCCGTGACTGGTGGGGCAATACTGGAGGTCAGGGTGGTGGTCTCACTGGTGGGGCTGTTCTGAGCAGTGGCAAAGGTTTCGGTGATAGTGTCAGAGTTAGTGGTGACGGTGGTGACAGAAGGCAGCATGTCCTCGACAGTGGCTGTAGTGTCGGCAGGCAGCCTGTGGAGAGGACAGGAAGTAGAAGAAAATAGACAATGAAAGCTGAAACATGACAGAGAAGCTGGCAGCAGGGCTGAAGCCAAGGAGAGGGGCCATGGGTGGGCATGCACAGGCAGGAACACAGGTCCACAGAGAAACGAGGACACTGAGAGTAAGCACACACCCAGATGGACAGAAGAGGACACAGGAGACAACGAAGAACATGGCAGTGTAGAGGGGACCTGCTAGCCCTTACTCCCTGCTGATGTCCCTCCATCTCTTTGCACAGGGCTCCTGTCCCTACAGACCCATCTGAGACTTTCTGATGTCTTCACTCCTGGAGAGGCAGGCTTTGGCCCAGCAATTCCCTACTCCAGGCTTCCTGGGCCACAGAGGAATGAGGCCTAGCTGCCCCGAAGGGCTCCCAGGGCAGCGATGGGGAAAGTCAGGAATCAGGCAGATGCTGGGTGCTCTGAAAGGCTCCTAAGAGCCGTGGGTTCTTCCAGGCACAGATTTTGTGGTCCTGTGAAATTCTATTCCCTTCTAACCCATCTGATCGCCCATAGCCGGGAAGGTATTTTCCTAAATACAGCTAGCTGGTCAGAGTCCCTGATGCTTTTGAGCAGATGAGGGCCAGGGAACTTAACTAGGTAGGTTCTCAACTTTGAGTTTTTTTTTTAAAGGGAAAAAACCCCAGAACAGCCTAGAATACTAAGGAACCCTGACCAGAATCAGCCAAACCTCTCTCAGTCAGATTTTGTCTCCTTAAACCATTTCCAAAACAATGATGTAACTTGGGAATGGGTCCAGTGATATCCACTTGTGCAAGGAACCCTGTAAGGGTACTCACAGCCACCCTGAAAAGAACCAAGAATGCCTTCTCTCTAAAAAAGAGAGTGGGATCAGGCATTGCCCAGCCAAGCAGGTTTCCTGGGGTGGCTCTGGAATCCGGCTTGCCCAGTGGGAAGCATGAAAGGTGGGAGAGGACAGAGAGGTAGGGTGAGGCTCTATTGAGGGAGTGCCAGCCCCTCCCGCCCACATACTCGGGCTCTGTCAGCGGTGTGGTCTCATTGGGTTCTGTGTGTTTCCCTCCGTCATGGTTTGGCGTCCTCTCCTCCTCGGTTCGAACCTCCACGATAGGCTCCTTGGACTCGTCTTTCCTGTGGAGAGAGTTCTGCCGGTTGCATTCCGGGGAAGTTCAGTGGTCCCCAGGGAAAGCAGCTATGGCTCAGGATAATGAGGCCTCACTGGAGGCTGCCAGGGTGAACATCCAGAGCCAGGTTATGAGTGTCTGTGTCTCGTCCGAACCTTGCTAGCTGTGTGAGCTTGAGCATAATTAAATCACAACTGCTTCACTTTCCTTATCTTAAAGTGAGGCATGCAGTAGTATGTTCCTGGCTTGGTTACCATGAAAATTAAATGAGATAATGGATGTAAAATGCTTATCAAGTGCCTGGCACTGATAAGAGTTCCATGTCATACATTTGTGTGTAAGTGTGCAGAGAGGTTGATGCACATATATGTAGATGGATATACAGTGCCTGGCCTGTGGTGGTGCTGAACCTCCTGTGTTCTCTCTTCATCCCCTCCCAGTTTCCTCCAGCAAAGCCCCACCCTGTAATGGTCGGCAGAGACTTTTTGCTCAGCATCTGTTTCTCCACAGATGGCACTAGACAGAACAATCTCTGGATCGCCAGCTCCACAAGGGCAGGGATTTTTATTCTTTTTGTTTCCTGTTGTATCTTCAAGCCTGGAAATCATGCCTTGCCCTTAGGAACTGCTGCCTAAGTATTTGTTGAATGATGAATGAATGAATGAATCAACAAAAAGATGAAAGTCAGGTGAGTGTGTCCCTCAAATAATGGTCCTATAGAGCGTTCTATTTTGACCTTCACGGAGTTTGCAAACTTGGGTGAGATTCTCCTGCACTGGATTGGGAGCAAGGCCTAAGAGCCCACTTTTCAAACAGGTCACCCCTAACTCCAAGCCACCCAAGACCACAGGAGGCTTTTTCGCTCCAAACAGGGGAAAGCTGGAAGAAAGGTGAATGCTACAGGCACTGGTGAATGGTTCAGAGGTGGCATGGCTGCTAGGTCGTTGGGGAGGGGTAGAGCCCACACCGCAGTGGGGGCATGGGTCTCACTCACGAGAAGGCAGCCTTGCCCTCCTCCATGTCCTTGCCCTTGGCTCCAGGCCCAGCTTTTCCACACAGGTTGACAGCGATGCACATAAGCAGGCCACACTTGTTCAGAAAGTAGCAGGTGATGTCCACAACCACCAGGAGCAGGACAAAGATGACAATGAGGATGCCCACGATGGCCCCAGTGCTCAGGCCTGCTGTGGGGCTGCCGTTGGCTTAAGTGAGAAAGAGATGGCCAAATGTTAACAGGATGAGATGCAAGTCCCGACCCTGTAAGCAACAGTTCTTGGGGTAGGGCAGGGCCCAGAGCACAAAGCCAAGTCTTTCATACCCAGAGTACTACCTTCCCTGGGGTTTTCTACGCACTGATATGGAGATGACAGGGTTTCTCTGTATCTTCCAAGGGGAGAGATGACAGCTTCATCTCATCTTGGGGTGGGGAGGTGGGGCTTCCTCTGCTTGGGATAAGAATGGGGCTTGGGAGATATGTCTCCTTCCTGCTCTCAAAGCCTGGGTCCTGCCAGAGCTGTGAGTCCTCAGAGCCAGACTCACAGCTGGACAGTGCTGGAGGACACTGGATGAAGACACAGCTAGAGGGGACTGCTGTGTGTTCCCTGGGCTTTTCAGGGCAGTAGGCATGGTCACTAGCTTCAGGCTAGGCAGTGGCTCTGAGAACAGTGAGGGGCAGGATCCCAAATGGGGTTCCCAGGGCTTCCTTGTGCCCTTCCTCTTGCCTTTTTAGGAATAACTCCAAAGGATCCCAAAACTGGAGTGCACTGGACTCACAAGCCACCCCCTTTTTTGCTGCACCTCAGAAAAATGAATGCAGCCCATGAGACTCTGGAGATGTGGCAGCCTCCCCAGGCCTGGTGGGTAAGGTGAAGGGTCTGGGAATACTCACCTTCTGGGAGCCAAGCACGCTTGGGTCAGACTTCAGGAAAACCAGCTGACTCACCCAGAGGTGCACACTCACACAGACAGGCACACTCATATGCAGGACGAATGCCCACACAGATACATTCTTACCTCCCAGCAGCCACCCAGCCCCCCAATTCTGGCTTGGCTCACTTTCAAAGACAGCCTCTCTGTCTAGACCCCCGGGAGACCATCTATAGTCCTCCAGAGTTTGGGCTCTTGGTACTAACACAGAAGGGGACATGTTCAGCTATCTGTGTGGCCATGATGGATGTTAACTGCTTGGGATAGACCTGTTGGCCTCTTGGTGGTTCTCATCAGTCTTCTGGAGACCACTGATAGTGCTGTGGGCAGCAAAAATCTATGCAGAGCTCTGCCTGTGTCCATGGGGACACAAGGACCCTAGCTGGAATAATGGGCACTTATGATTTAGTTTTCTTCTGGAAGGTCCAGAACTGTGTATAGCTCCATTCTACCACCAGACCTTGTCTCAAGCATCCTTGGAAGGTCTGTAGACTGGAGGGAGGAACTGAGGCCAACACTACTTGGGGCTTTGCTCTACCTGACCCCATATTTGGCTCACTTTGCTGAGTGCCTGGCCAGGCCCAGTGAACTGACAATCATGCCAGATGACAGGAAGAACATATAACACAAGGTAAGCAGCACTATGATAGCCACTGTTCTCTTCTCCATGACCTGTTCTCTGGAAGGAGAAGCTCTGTGTACTGCAGGGTCTTTGCCCAGGAACTCTAGTGCTTATCTTGTAGCAGTGCCACTCCGCTGGTCCTTTTAAATTTCATCCAGGGTACCAGCCATCAGAGCAGCATGCTGGAGAGGACCACTCACAAGCTGTTGTTTGCAAGCTAAGACTCCCTGGTTCCCAAATGTTTTGGTCCCCTATAGGACCTTGTCTTACTTCCCAGCCTTTCCTCCTCAGGCTTTCTGGCTGGCCCTTTCCACCCTAGCCCATTCCTCCACGATGGCCTGAGACTGGTGAGAGACTTTGGTTACCTTGTTTGTGGGCTTTCGCACCAAGAAGCCAGCCTTTAGCTAGAGTGGGGCATTTTCTCAATAACTAGATAAAATGCAGAGGCGCTTCTGGTTGGCTGCATAACAAAACCATACATCCATTTGCTCATCTATCTACATTGCACCCAAAAAACAAAGAAAGAGATGCAGACCTTCCTGATCTTTTTAGGCTCCAAAGCTGGGAAGTCATTTAGGCCTGTAATTTCTCTCTATCTCTTGATGCTGGGCTTGAAGCCACTGTAGCCTTTTGACTCCAGTATCGGCTAGGTATAAAATGCCTACTTCTTGAAGAGGCTGAAGTTTTTTGTTTTTTGTTTTTGGTGTGTATGTGGGCTATATCTGTAGTTTGGACTCAATGGCATGGACTCATTCTACATTCTGAGGTCCGCATGACAACACAGAGTCAATGCTCTATGTGCACAAGAGGATGCAGCTGGGACCGATTTTGCTTCAGGCTCATCAGGTACAGCTGCAGGCCACACTGGATCTAAGGACGATGGAAAGGAGAGACAGGTGGGTGAAAAGACTGCAATGTGGCATAAACCACAAGTAGGGCAGTGGTCTCTACTTTCATTTGATGTAAATTTCAAAGCCTTTCCTTGGCCTAGGCTCTACATGTTGTATGGCCTCTGACTTGCGTAAATGAGGGCAGGACGCTGGGTTCCTGTGATCCAACCAGGCCAGTCTATACTCTACCTGCTGATCACATAGGTCATTGCCCCAGGGCCTGACTGATTTTTTGCCTGGAATATTCTCCCCCTTCAGGAGCACTTTCAAGGATGGCTGTTTGCTCTCTTACAGGCCTCAGGCCCTTTGTCACCTTTTCAAAGAAGTTTTCCTTGTTCTGTTCTCTAGTGAAGCACCCCCAAATCATTTCCTACCACATTTCTCATTCATTCTTCTTACCATGCCCTGCCATCTTCTGATCATTTCTGTGCTTATTATTTCTGGTTGTCTCTTCCAGAATACCCTAGAAAGTGCCTCACTCTCTTCTCTCCCATGCTTCTAGGATGACTCTGACTCAGAAAATTTTCACAGAGTATTTGTTACATGAATGAGTGTTTAGCCTGTAGAAGATAACATTGTTTCCATGTATTTAAAGGTCTGCTGTGAGAAGGAACAGGAACCTTATTCTGCATTGAACCGGCAAATGTCAAATATGGGCGGGGGTGCGGTGAAGATGGCGGCTCCGAAGATGGTGGCTTCGTATAAAAAAAAGACTAACAGAGCTGGTCACACAAAGTGCAGGCCAGCTCCTGGTTGCTGGAGGCATTCAAGCAGAGGCAGGACAACTTCTTGGAGGTGATGTTATAATGCTCTGGATGAGCTCACTGTATTCAATGGGGCCTTGGGTAGAGGGTGTCCTCTTTAACCACAAGGACCTATCATTCAAGTCAGATGTTCTAATTACCTAGCACAGGTTCAGATTCCCTAAGGCCAGTCTCCACCATGAGTACCGAGGATTCTTTTCCTGGAAGAGTAGAATGCTCAGTAGATTCTCTCTAATCACCGACCCTTGTGATTTTATTTTTGTTTGAAAAACAAACACCTTTTAACTGGGGGTAAGAGTCAGGAATTGGAATTTGAACAAGTACCCCAGATGATACATTCGAGGTCCACCATTCCTAGTTCTTCCCTTCCCTGCGTCACAGTGAATCACAGCTGATCCCGTGATACCTCACTATGGAGGAACTGTGCCTCTTGCTCGATGATCTGACAAAGCACTTAGCTTGATGTACAGGATAGACTGAGAGAAAGCAAAGACTCTCTTAAATGCAAAGCATCACTGAGGCCAACACTGCGAAGAATTGAGACTTCTAGAGCAAGTGAGGTGCTATTCATGCTACAGGGAGAATGCTGGCCACATTTACAGAAAGAAGCTCTAAATCAAGGAGAGAGCACAGTGCAGTTGGAAGGATATTCAAGGCAAGCCAACTTACTCCCTCTCAGTTGATGTTACAGAATTATTTAGTCCAGGAAAGCTACTGGGACAAAGACTGTCTCCTGCATCTCATGTAACATTTCATAAAGGGAAAATCTTTAGGGATCTATCTTTCCCATGATTTCCCCTTTTACCCTGACTAACTCACCCATGCACCTTGCATGCAAAGAAGGCTTCTTGGGAGCAGTTCCTCCATAACCTCTGAGGTCAGAGCTGCCCTGAGTAAAATTATTTGGCAGGGGCTGTCTGTCTTCTGTGGTTCCTGGCTCAGGGAAGGTTGGCACTCAAGTAGAAACTGCCCTGCTCCCAAAGTATGACTCATATGTGCCTGCTTTCTTGTGCCTTAAAAGTGGAAGAATGGGTCTCACACTTTACGGGTGCCTGGATAGGCCGGAGCTTTCATGCCATAGGACCTGGATGCCAAAATTCCCTCTCAGCCTCCTAGGCAGTCAAGACTCTCAGAATGGTGAAGTTGGGATTCCTGTTCACTCAAATCCCTTAAATGTCTGTTTGCTCCTTCCTGGAAATGGCTACAAAGACAGCTGGTCTCAGGGTCTTGCAAGCGGTGTCTGAGTGTGATTACAAACAAAACACAGTTTGCTAAAAAAGAACCTCCTCTGAGTTTCTGTGTATCACAAGATCCTGTATGGCCTCTGTTAGGAATAAAGGTTTCTATATGATCAGAAGGCCTTGCTACAGAGCTGTGCATCTGGTGGCTCGGAATGTGCCCTGGTCCCCAGAGTTTCCATCTTCTCAGTTCTGCAAAGGCATTTCCCCCTCCTTCTGTCTGCTGTGGATTCCAAGACAGAAATGACCTATAACACTCCTCAGGGTGGCTAAGAAACATATACTGCTTCTTACAAGGAAAAGCAAGGATTTTGTCTGGTTAGAACTCCAAACTTGAGAGGTAATCACTTATCAGGTATGGGAGAGGTGGAGGGAAAGCTCTTTTAATACTGTGTTGAGCACACAACTACTAAATAAAATCAAAACACTCTGGTAAGTTCACATGAACTGTTATATCCTTTAATAATGCAAAGGTGTAAACTTCATAAAGGCCTCGCTGATTATCTACACAACGTTAGCATTCTTATTAGTAGAAAAACGTGATTCAAACCTGCTGTATAAATATTCCAAAAATGAGCAGAGAAACCTCAGGGTATATGGCATGTGGCCAGAGCTAACACAGAGCACAAAGGCAAGGTGGACGAGAAGATGAGGAGTGCTCACTCCTGCAGGACTCTTTGAGGACCACTCTTAAGGACTCCTAGTGGGGATGGGGGCTGTAGCCTTCACCAGGAACTCAGTGTCTCAAGAGAGCCAGTGCATACTAATGCTGGCTCTCGAAGGGCAAATTATTAACACCAGCCACAGGCCAGGTTGGTAACCTGCTGCGATGACCCCAGAGCTTTCCCAGCTGAGAGCTGCCCAGCCCTAGGATGTGCTGAGGGCACAAGGCCATGCCGGGCCTCTTTGCATTTAGGGCTAGATTTCCAAAGACCTCTCCTGTCCATGGGCCTGGGACCAAGCTGAGGCAGATCCCTGAGATGAGCTCCCATAGTGTGAATACATGGACTTCTGCCCAGGGTAATCAGAAGCGTTAGGAGGACTGCCCTCCCTGCAGCTCTTCCTAACTGACTTAGGGTTCTCATACCGGGCTCTGCAGGTGCTGTACTACCCTCTCCATGGCCCTGTGCCCGAGAGCCATCTGGTGTCACTGCCCTGGTGTGACACTAGGCCAGGGCTTGAAGGCAGGAGTTTGTGGATGGGGATAGAAGCTGCTTGTGTGAGCTGCTGAGCCACCCAGAGCCTCTATAGTGAATGCTGGGGACACTGTGGATGCCAACATAGGTGACTCTGACCTCAGGCCACAGCTTCGAGTCAGGTGGATTCTCAAAGAGAAAGGCTAGTCTTTTAACATTAAAAAATAACAATGAAAAAATACATAAGGAACAAAAGGAATGAAAATCAAACTTGTATGGAGATGTTCGGAGAAGCAATAGGTAGAATGATAAATGACCACAACGGGGGAGGGAGATTTTATTTGGTAGAAGGTCTGTCTCCATGTTCACACGCTCATAGGGGTTCAGCCCTGGGTCTCTATGCATCCCACGATACCAAAAGCCACCCACCTCCTCTCCTGGGTGACCTCCGCAATAGCAAACAGGAGCACCTGGCTGTTGAGGAACACGTCAAAAGTATCACTGAACCATCTAACCAGTTGGGAGGCGGGGGCTGGGTGGGCTGGGAGCGGCCTGCCTCTTCCACTCAGTACTCCTGAATGTGTGCACAGAAGGTGAGGGACTCGTGCCTGGTTCGCAGTGGATGCTTCCAACCTGCCTGTACAGGGATGCTTATGGTGACAAGGCGGGTCGTGGATGAACCACAGCCCTCAAGACTCAGAGGCTCTGTGCTGACCAGTGACACACTGCTATGCAGCAGGAGAATCACCTCCACGAGGAGACAAGCACCTTCCAAAGCCAACAAGTGCTGGACACATCACAGCTTGGCCTTCTTCACAGAGACAGCTGAAGGTGCTGGTTATAATACTGAGCAACAGGGGACTTAATTTATCCAGCATATCAGCAGAGTACACAGGTGAATTGCCACGAATGGCTCTTTCAACACAGGCACTTAAATACTTCAATGCAAGCAAAGCCAACTACTTACTGAAGGGCCGAGGAGGGGCACATAGTTAGAATGAGGGGGTGTGTTGATTTCAATAATCTGAGGCAAGCTTTAGGAGATTTTAGAATTCTTCCTCTGCTACAAAAAGTGCAACGAGTAGCAGATATGCAGAACATTCTCTGTAAACCTAGCACAATGCTTTAAAAAAAACCCAATGTTTAAGGGAAGAGCCATCAAATTCTTTTAACTGCCATTAGAAAGGGGGCAAACTCCTTATGAAGTGGCACAAAAGTATGTGCGAATGGCAAAATGGCAGGAGGTAAAGCTTTTTCAAATTGCAAAACCTTCCTCTTGCACACAGAATGCTCACTCAGTGGCCGTGTGGCAGGGCCGTAATGGTTCTGACAGGTTCTTCCAAGGGGGCCCTGATCATTTTCATAGGAATTGAGCTTTTAAGCAGATTTAATTTGTGTTCAAGTTTCTAACAGAGCAAAAGAAGAGTTACTGCAGAGAAAAGCAATGAGACGAAGGTGTAGGATGCAGAATTGCCTCCCAAGGTGGCTGCAGGTATCAAGCAATGGGTCCCCAGAGAGAATGTGGTTGTTTAAAATAAATGTGGCAGTGAGGATGTCCCAGTGGCGTCCAAGGTGACAGGTGTGACAACAGACACAGGAAGGGGAAGGGGGAGGAAAGAGAAGGTAGAGACAGAAACAGAGAAAAAAATAGATAAAAAGAAAAAATAGGTCAAATACCGAAAACACAAGAATCCAAGGTTAATTCAACTTAGTAAATTAAATGGACAAAGGTTAGAGAAGAGTTCAGTGCGGTATCAACACCATAGGCCAGGTCAGAAGCTCAGCAATGCCAGAAGCAGCATAGCAGGGTTAATTTTGGGGTTAGGGGGCCAGCGAGCAAATGAAATTAAAGTGAGAGAACAGGAGCCTCCACAACAGAATACCAGAGTACCATTAGGAGGGTGTTACCTTTACTGAGGTGATGCCTCCTAGGTGCAGCCACTGAATGTCTTCTGGTCTCTACTATCTGCTGCAGCGGTGGAAATGCATTGGATGCCTGCACTAGGGTGGGCATGCTGTGCACAGGGCAGCACTGCCTTTGCAGAGTTGAAGCAGACCCTTCTCTCACTGTGTAAACCTCCACCATGGTGTTGTTACGCGTCCTTTATGTCTGGCCTTCTACCACCTTACTGACCACAACACTCAACCACAAAGGCATGTCTAGTGGCGCAAAGAGATTTTATTCTTGGATCCCAATATGATGGCCAGGAACATCCAACGAAGTGCAGAGCCACTTCTTTCTAATATCTATGCAGTAGAGCCACAGAGCCATTCTGGACAAGGTGAGCGAGCCCCCAGCCCTCTCTAGCTTAAATGGGCACCTGGATGATTCACAACAAGAGCTCTAGAGGACAAAGTCTCCCTAGTATTTTTGTCACTCGGAAACAAATGCTTCTACAGTACCCAGCATGGGGATATAAAACATCCGAGCAACCTGCTTATGAAATCTCAACTCAGGGAATAGTTCCCATAAGGAATCTGTCTTGCTGTCTTGAGGCTTACTCAGTCCCTGCCCCCAAGTGTTCCACAAGGAAGCAAGGATCTGGACACTCACATTTTACCATCAATATCAAGCAAACACTGACCAAAGAACACAAGAAAAGAAGAGGCAGAGGAACAAACAGGAGGCCTGCCTCTATTTAGACAAACTCTTAAGCAGCAATGAAGACATTTCTTGCAGTTATACCCAGCTGCCTTCCTTTAGCCCCTCTAGAGACCTTCCCACCCCAGGACATGCTAGGGAACCTTCCCCACAATGCAACTGACACCGCTAATCTGCAGCTTAAAACTCACGTGCCAACTCAGCGGAGGCTCTCATGTTTCTTAAACACAGCCATTCACACACAAACAAACATCCGGAATCACACATTGATCTCTTGTTTTGTTGCTGCCTCACTATATCACTTATGCAATACCCTTGTATTATAGGAAGCCTACACCTTTTCTGGCTTGTCTTTCTCCTGGGAAGAGCAATAAGGACAACTGAGCCAAGATCTTGGTAAGCTCCACTGACAGGGCAGGTATGATGTGTCCTTCCACACATGAACATGGAAGAGTGTATGAAGTCCCCTCCAATAGGCTACAGCTATATGTTCTGTGCCCTTCTCTTTTGCCTGTGACTGGCATTTGTCTGGCCTTGAAAGACAAAGTGAGGGCTAAAGATCTCTTTCTACTCAGGGATTTGGCCAATGAAGGGATCAGCCATCAGATCAAGGCAGCTGGGCTAGAAAGCAGAACTCTCACTTTATTCCCACACTTGAGTTGGTCCTGGATCCCTAGAGACAGATCTGCATCTCCTAAGGGCTCTGCTGCCATCACAGTTTCTAGCAGACTAACTGCCTTTCATCGATGGTGCTTTCCAAGCATCTGTCTCCTCCACTTGTGCCATTTTGAGAAGTTTAGTTTAATCTCTGTGTCAGAGGAGAGGCTCTTGACAGATATGCTTTATAATTAACTGGGCACCATCTCTTCTTCTCTTGGGGTCCCCACAGAGAAGAGATTTGGACCACGATTGTGAATATAAAGCAAGCATCAAATAGAAAGCACACAAAGCAGTTATATGGTCCTAGTACAGCACGGTAGATGGCAGATAAGGTCTCATAAAGGATCCTTACTCAACCAGCATTGGAGGCAAGGCAGGGGCTGGGGCATTTCCCATTGGAGGGATCCCATGGACTAGTTAGTGTCAGTTGTTTAAGGCTGAATGAGAGAGGACCTTTTCCCCAGGATGCTTAGCCAAGCCTTCCTGAGGGTCCAATACATCTCAACCCACTGCACAGAGAGGTTCAAGGCAAAACTAAGCTTTGCATGGTCAACCAGTCATGAGATGGCTGTAAGCAAGCAAGTTGTCAGGGTTGTTCAGGCGCATTAGGAGGTGCAGCACTTGTGCATTAATTTAAAGCAGGAAACTAACAGAGAGCAGAGGCAGCTGTACCTGGGATAGCCGTGGGCTGGGCTGAGGTCTTGAACACAAAATGAGCTGGCTTGGATTTTCCTTGCTGGTTCTCAGCCACCACGGAGACTTCATACTCGGCATTCCAGTCCAGCGACTTGAGCATGACATGGTCACTGCCCGACGGGAGCCTAATCTCTGGTTTCCAATCCGAGGAGAGCTTTCGGGAGGAATCAGCAAGAAAGATACAGGACACCGGAATTTTACTATACTCCAATTTTACTATAAATAAAAACTATCATTTCTCAGGTATCTACACTGTGCCAGGCACTGTATTAAAGGCCATCCACACATTTCTTATGGTATCTCTATATCAAACCTGCAGCAGGTTTCATCGGGCTCACACTAAATCTAACGATGGGGATATGAGAGAAAGTTTAGGTGACTTCCCAAAGTCACCTTGAAGTCAAGGTTGAAGCCAAGTCTTTTCTGGCTCAAAGCTGTTCTTTGGTTTCATGGTGGGAAGCTTTGGTTTCACGGTAGGTGCAAACATCTGCTGAACTGAATTGGATTTTCTCTTCCATTCACATGACTGGTCTCTACAACTGCAGCTGAACAGATGTGGTTCTTCTACGAGGCCCAATCTCGGGATGTTCACAGGGTCCACAAGGTGAGCCCCACTTAAAGGATCATGTACTATCCTGGCCACACTGAGAGGCATGAAACCAGAGTTCTGGGACCTCCTCTAATGCTCTCTCTGGTTGTAGCCTCCACAAGTCCTACTGACTCTGTACTAAACAGGAGTTTACAAAACCATTGTTAGGTGACTTTCTTCTTAATGAAACAGTTTCAGAAGATCTGACAACCTCTTGAGAAGGCTTCCAATGATTTCATACTGCCACAGCCTTCACAAGCTCTGGCTTTTTCACAAGGCATATGCCTCAAGGTATATGCTGGGCATGCAACAGGGTTTGACAAATGCTTACTGGATGACATGATGCTTGGTAGCACTGTCTAGCAGCCACTGCAGGCCCAGGGCTGAGGTTGGAGGAAGAGTTATTTTACAGCAAAGGGGTCTTAACCAGGCAAACTGGTCTGTACCAGTTAAAAAGTTACCTCTAAGAATGTGACAGTGCTTGTTCCAGGGCCTGGGACTATTACAGAGAAGTTGTAGTAAGGGCATTCTAGTTTCTCAGAGTCTAATCAGGATGCAGGAGCTGTGCTATAAGTTAGTTGGCAGATGTTGTTATGGGCCCCTGTTTTAATTAAAACAAAAAACACTGAGCTGTCTGTCTTTGCTATTTTTTCTGTCTTCCTTGTCAAACATCATTACAAAAGAGAAAACTAGCCTGTAAAGCCCCTATTCAACAAAGTAAACATTATGTTATATAATACATATTAATAATATATTATGATATTTAGTAAATATTAAGTTTTGAGTGAAAGAGAGAGGATAGTCAAGGTTGCTGAAATCTAAAATATTGCAGCATTCTGCTCCAGTTGTCACTGTAGAGTCACAGTGGCTGTTCAAGAAGACTGATTAGAGATAGCCCCCCATGGGAGAGGTTTCTAACTGGAGCTTGCATCTTGGAAGTAACAGATATATAGAGCCTTCCAAGTATCAAACTATCTCAATTTCTTTGCATATATCATAACTAATCTTTACAGTGACTTGATAAGTAATTTTATACCATTTTACAGATGAAGAAATGGAAATTTTGGAAGATTGAGTGACTTAGTCAGTTCATATGCTGGTAAGTCGTAAGGCTGGGATCCGAAGCCACCCGTGGCTGACTCCAAAACCCTTGCTCTCTCCACTGGGCCATATGAGCTTAACAATGGCCAGAAGTATTCCCCCCTACTACACCGAATGCTTCCCATGGAGTATGCAGGCCACCTGCCCTGCCCTCGCATCCTCTGCAGTGAGAAAGTCACATGGGCCTGTCATTCAGTGATATCTCCAGGATAGATTTTTCCTACTATGCCAGCTCATACTTTGCTTAGAAATGAGGTGAGAAGCAGGGTTGAGTGGGTGGACAGCCTGCCCACTGGGTAAGTGTCCACAGGGCTCTGTGCTGGATCAACTCTCCGGAAGTGTCACCAGTTAAAGATCCTCATGGGTCTTTCACTCCCACAGGGACTGCTCACACAGCAGAGAGGAAGCCAACTTTCTGGACTAACCAAAGAAAGGAAACTCCTCTCTGGTTCATTATTTTACACCATAAAGAAGTCCTAGAAACTCAAAAGGGAGAGAGTGATTCTCAGTCTGGACACGGGGATGAGAGCTAGAATGATAGGGATTTTAAATGGGTGGCGAACGAGTTGGAAGAAGAGCCTTAGAGCCAAGGTCATCACTAGCAAAAGAAGACCTACTCAAGTTCAGAGGCTAAGAGCAGGTGCTGAAATTGGCACTGCATTAGGATCTGAAGGCAGCCTTGGGCAACGCTAGGAGCCCAGGCTCTTCAGTCAGGCCTTCAGTCTAACTCTGGCTCACTGAACTGTGAGAGGGCCAGGCACTGATTATTGACTACACTAGCTCTAGCTACCTCATCTGCAATGTGGAGCTAATTCTAAGACCTACGACTCACAGATTCTGAGCCAAGAATGTGCCTTCACAGAGTGCCCAGCCCAGAACACACCTCATTAAAAATAGCCACAATTAGATATTAGTCCAACATTTGCCCAAAAGCTCTGAATAATGGCAAGATAACTTTTTAGAAAAGAATTCAAGAATAAAAAAAATCAATCATGATGTAAGTTTGCCATTCTGCCAGTCATTTCAGAAATTTTCAAATGCTCCCAGTATAGACGTGGCCTAATAGCTGCAAGGCAGTCTTGGGATTTTAAAATCCTGGCCAAGGTCCCCTGTTCCACCTGTGATTTGAATGCTGTTGCTTTGCCAAGGCAGGTGTCAGGGTGGAAAGGTCAGGAGTAGGGTCTAAGAAGAGGCCACTCACCGCTCGATACTTGACCAGGTAGTGCCTGATGGGGGAGCCGCCGTCATCCTGCTTGATCAAGTTCACCTTAATGGAGTTCCCGTCTTCTCCCATCTGCCCTTCTAGCTTAGGTGCGCTGGGCTCCCCTGAAACAGCCAGTGAACACACGTGAAATTTCAATCCTCAGAAAGATGACTGCATCCATCAGAATGGGATGAGATGATGAGGTGGGATTGGGTACTTCTCTTGCTTTCTCAGAAACTCAAATGCAATAAATATGAGACACCAAATTCTACTAAGCTGCATCAGTCCTAGCTCAAACTGAGTGCACCTTTTTGGAATGTTCTGGGAAACACTGTCCCTATTAGCAAAGTTCTTTTTCTTTAGTAAAGGCTTCTTCTGTCTCTTTTCCCTTTCTGCTATGTTCACAACTGCAGATTTAATTCCTGTGGTCCTGATATACTTTGATGGACAGTCCAAAATATGGGAAAATGTAAGTCTTTGAGTAAAAACATATCCATAAAATTATATTTCCAAATAGTCCATTTTTTCCCCTTGACACTTTGTTCACCCCAGAGGCCTGAGGGTCTGATCCCTGATGGGACTGAATAATGCTGCATTATCGTGATTGACTTTACATGAATTAAATTTTATTGCTTAGGATCACTTAAAAAATAAGTTTCTAGGTGTGGTTAAATAAAACAAAAACTGCCACAGGCAACTTTCCTGTGACTATACTGCATTTATGGCTTGACTGAAGGAGTGATGATCCTTGCCACTTTACTGAGTTAAAGCAACAATCATTAAAGTCTTTTTCTTTGTGAGAGGGGAAGAATAAAATTGGCTTTAGCATTTCTCAACAGAAATAACGGAAAAAAAGTGATTTTCTTCTTTATTTGCAGTACAAGCTCACTCAGAGTACAGTTTGGCCAGGAAGATGAACTTGTATGTGACAGACTATAAGGGCTGGAAGTAAGATGCTGATTTCCTTTAGGAGAAACTATTTCATTAGTACATTTGGGAAAGGAACAAGGAGAGGAAATTTCTGGTATAAAGAGTTCAATTAAGATTCCAAGAACACCTGGAATCCTCTACTTTCCAGGATGAGCTACATTTACCATATATTTGCTGATCATAGAGAAATCTGGGGGAGGCTGTACAACAGTTACCTTCCGGGCGTGTCACCCTGGACTGCCCTCTGGGAAGCAGCACAGCACACATGTGGTAGAAGTGCCAAGAAAAGGCCTGCCACTGGGCTGTGGCCACAATCACTCTGTGGTTGGTGAAGACAGTATCTAGCTTGGCCTCCTTGTTCAGCCATTTTGGGAACTTCTTCCCCTTTGACAGGGGAGGAACCAGAGAAAGAAAGCTAAAGCAGAGCACCTACTTATCTTGTAGGGCCAGCAGTGCACACACCCTCTGGTTCTTGATCTTTTTTTTTGACTTTTTAATACTATGATTTTATTATATTTGGACACTGTTTTAAAGAATTCCTTCACTTTGG